CCCTCCACTGCCGTCATGTCTAAGTCAGAGTCACCCAAAGAGCCCGAACAGCTGCGGAAGCTCTTCATCGGACGTTTGAGCTTTGAAACAACCAATGCGAGTCTGAGGAGCCATTGTGAGCAGCGGGGAGTGCTCACAGACTGTGTGGTAACGAGGGATCCAAACACCAGGTGCTCCAGAGGCTTCGGGTTTGTCACATATGCCACTGTGGAGGAGGTGGATGCGGCCATGAATGCAAGGCCACACAAGGTGGATGGAAGAGTGGTGGAACCAAAGAGGGCTGTCTCAAGAGAAGATTCTTAAAGACCTGGTGGTGCCCACTTCACTGTGAAAAAGATTTTTGTTGGTGGCATTAAAGAAGACACTGAAGAACATCACCTAAGAGATTATTTTGAACAGTATGGGAAAATTGAAGTGATTTGAAATCATGACTGACCGAGGCAGTGGCAAAAACAGAGGCTTTGCTTTTGTAACGTTTGATGACCATGACTCTGTAGACAAGACTGTCATTCAGAAATATCACACAGTGAACGGCCACAACTGTGAAGTAAGGAATGCCCTATATAAGCGAGAGATGGCTAGTGCTTCATCCAGCCAAAGAGGTCGAAGTGGTTCTGGGAATTTTGGTGGTGGTCGTGGAGGGGGTTTTGGTGGGAATGGCAACTTTGGTCGTGGAGGAAACTTCAGTGGTCTTTGGTGGCAGCCGCGGTGGTGGGGGATATGGTGGCAGTGGGGATGGCTATAATGGATTTGGTAATGATGGAAGCAGTTTTGGAGGCAGTGGAAACTACAATGATTTTGGTAGTTGCAACAATCAATCTTCAAATTTTGGACCCATGAAAGGAGGAAACTTTGGAGGCAGTAGTTCTGGCCCCTATGGTGGTGGAGGCCAATACTTTGCCAAACCCCAAAACCAAGGTGGTTCCAGCAGCAGCAGTAGCTATGGCAGTGGCAGAAGGTTTTGATTACTGCCAGGAAACAAAGCTTAGCAGGAGAGGAGAGCCAGAGAAGTGACAGGGAAGCTACAGGTTACAACAGATTTGTGAACTCCGCCAAGCACAGTGGTGGCAGGGCCTAGCTGCTACAAAGAAGACATGTTTTAGACAATACTCATGTGTATGGGCAAAAAAACTCGAGGACTATATTTGTGACTAATTGTGTAACAGGTTATTTTAGTGTCTGTTCTGTGGAAAGTGTAAAGCATTCCAACAAAGGGTTTTAATGTAAATTTTTTTTTTTTGCACCCATGCTGTTGATTGCTAAATGTAATGGTCTGATGATGATGCTGAATAAATGTCTTTTTAAAATAAATAAATAATTAAATAAATGTGCGTCAAGGATAAACAGTTACCTTTTTCATCTATTTTGGCACATTCTGCAAAGAGGTCCTTTGACCCAGTATTCAGCCGGTCCCTGTGAAAATAATGGGACTGAAAGAAACGTGTCCAGAACTCCTTTTCTGTCATGTTGTGGGGAACATTTTCTGCATATTTCATTTTTACTGTGAAAAAAACCCATAATAGTTACATAGTGCATTTCCAATTCTTAAAATCCTTCAAATTAGTTTCAAAATAGACTAACAGCAAAACTAGATTATGAAAGTATTCAACTTTACAAACTGTATATAATAACTGTAAATATAAAATATAACTTGAGAGATTAGGTGAGGCACTACCTTTATGAATCTTAAATTACAAACAAAACCTTATTTTGAATATTTATTTATTTGGCTGTGCCGGGTCTTAGTTGAGGCACGCAGGATCGTCGTTGCAGCACGCAGGCTCTAGTTCCCTGACTAGGAATCGAACCCGGGCCCCCTGCATTGGGCGTGCAGAGTCTTAACCAATGGACCACGAGGGAAGTTCCACAGAACCTTATTTTGTACCAAGAAAATTAATGAGTTTCAAAGTTTCAGTGGAAACACCAAGCTTCTCGGAGTGAGACTTAAGTCTGCTTATTTGATCACTTATATACGGACACTTTTAATCCAAGGCATCAAATTAGGTGCTGGGGAAATAAATAAAGATCTCCATAACCCAATGGACTATCAGTTCGGCACTCCAGATGCTTACATTGTTCAATAAGCAAAGAGATTAAGAGGTTTAGGTCTCTTAAGCTGGAGAGCCTAAGTTTAAAATTCTAGGTCTGCCACTTACTGTCTGTGTGATGCTGGACAAATTACTTAATCTTTATCTTGGCTTCCTCATCTGTAATATGGGGGTAATGATAGTACCTACTTCACAGGTACTACCTGTGATGATTAAATGAGTTAATATACATAAAGGCCTTAGAATGGTGTCTGGCACACAGTAAACACTACATAATTATGTTATTATCAGAAAGATAAGAAAATAATTACATTATAATGTGGTAAGACACAGAGCCCTATGGAAGGAATGGGGAGGGGGCTTATATCTGCCTAAGATAGTCAGGATTTTACAGAAGTGGCAATGAAGTGATGCTTGAGCTGAGTCCTGTGGGAGAGAAATGTTTCCTAAGGACTAAAGGGGCAGGAGTGAGGAAATATAAAGAGAGAATAGTGTATGGCTTGAGAGATTTGTTTAGTTAGAAGAATGACTGAAGCAGCTGCTCTCAACAATGGCTGCACATCGTAAATCACTAGAGCTAGAATCAAAACATTTATACTTTTAGGATGATTTCTGCAAGGGAGGCAGCATGAAAGATGAGCTGAGTTAGTGCTGTAGAGACTCATTTACTGATGCCTCTGGAGCATGTCATCTTACTCATGTATGTTAAAGGGTATATAAAGTTTAGGAACTTCCCTGGTGGTCCAGTGGTAAAGAATCCACCTTCCAATGCAGGGGATGCAGGTTCGATCCCTGGTCGGGGAACTAAGATCCTACATGCTGCGGGGCAACTAAGCCTGCGTGCTGCAACTACTGAGCCTGCACACCTCAACTAGAGAGCCCGTGTGCCGCAAACTACAGGGCCCACACACTCTGGAGCCCATGTGCTCTGGAGCCTGCACACCACAACTAGAGAGAGAAAAATCAGCAGGCCACAACTAGAGAGAAGGCTGCACGCTGCAACGAAGAGCCCATGCGCTGCAACTAAGACTCAAATGCAGCCAAAAATAAAATAAATAAAATATATACATAAAAAAGAAAAAATAACTTAAATATTAAAAAAAAATAGTTTAAGAACCACCAGTGGAAAGAATGGGAAAGTCATCATACCAATGGATTGATGATAGCATATTATATGCTAAGCCATTAGTATCTACCACATGTCAGGCAATGGATAACGTATTTTACATATTTTATAGCACTTCAGCAGGAATAAAGGTAAAGCCTTTTGCTTTTCAATGATACACTACTGAATTCATCCAAACAAATATTTTAACTATCTGAAAGAACTGATTCTTCTTACCTGCTGGATAGGTCCTAAATATGGACTCAATGATATCAGTCGTTAAATTGTATCTCAGACCATTACATCCATCTGTTTGGGGCCGGACATCAGCCTAAAATAAAGACCACATATATATCTGTATTTGTTAGAATATTGGGGGAAGATGTCTAAGAACCCAATGAACACTGGACAAAGGTGGAAAAACAGACTCTCTGAATGAAATACAGAGACAGAGATAAGTCCCTCACCTATACTTTTGGCATAGAGACAGGGCTCACAGAAGCCTGACCTGGTTTCACATAATTTTAGTGAACTGTAAAATCTGCTTTTTGAAAATACAACATGGTCAAATAGGCACATTGATGTGTGGCCAAAGGCAGATATCTAGTGGGGATTTAACATAAAACTTATACAGTTACCAAGTATTTAACTATTTGGTTACTAAGTAGTTAAATATTATCTGATTGGTTTCTTTAGAAGGCCTTATTAACTCAATTCACTGCTAAGCACTCAGAAAGATGCCAAACACGTAACTGCTACTCAAATTTTTGTTAAATATATAAACACTGCTTTGGTTTTACCAGAGTATAGACTGAACTTCACTTTCTAATTCCATACATAAGGTAGTCTCAATTTTCCTCTTAAGATACATTTTACAAATCTTACTTTTTTATAACCTGGTGGTCATTACACATTTAAACTTTGCATTGTAAGTAAAATATTGCAATCATTAAAAAAAGGCAGCTGAAAGTCCTAAATTTAAAAGTATTAGGGGAAGTAAGCATTAGTCCAGTTGCTAAAAGATTCTTTTTCAAAAGTCCATTTGATTTCCAGCATACTAGGGTCAAGTCCAAAAAACTAAGAAAATATAACTGGCAAAAAATATATAAATTAAAAACGATACTGTATGTATTTTAAAAATTATTTTAGAAGAATACCATGGATACTGAAGAATCCACTAATTTACCTAAAGGAAATGCTACATTTTAAAAAAAAAGTGGCATCGTTAACACATTTACCACGGTTTTTTTCCCTTTAGAAATCTAGAAGGGTCACATACCAGAAATGCTGCAGAAATGCCAACATCCTGCTTATGATTAGATGTGGAAGAACTCTCTGTTGCATTCACATTTAAACGATTGGCCCAGAATTCCTCAGCACTGATCACCTGACTCACAACAAGGTCTTTATAAAGCTGAAACAAAACAGGATCTTCTTGCAGCATTCTGGTGATAGAATATATCAAACATATTGAACTTTTAGAATAAAACACCATTTACATAACATTCAAAAAAGACTTTAGCCACATGAAACACCCAACTTTCATTTTGTGATGATTGAGCGGCAGAGGTCATTTAGTTCATCTGTTAGTAATTAAAAGCAAAAAGACATTTTTGGAGGAACAAATGTAAGTGCAGATAAATAGAAGTCAGTCTGAAGAAGCAAAGGCTAAACACTTTGAAGGCATGGATTTGGTCTTATTCATCCCTATATTCCAGTGATACAAAGGCTGTATTTGTACTGTACTGTATTCTCTTTCACAAAAAGGTGAATGGGGAAGAGAGATTTTCTAGCAACTAGTTTTTCATGGTGATAAGCACCTGGAGCCATAAGCACAGAAAGATAATTCATCTTATCAGAAATTCTCATTATTTTAGATGTTTTCTCAACTTTTTTACAGTATGACTACTTTCAGGGTTCTTATTCACATACACACTTCTCATGGTTTAGTATCTTCTCTGTGACAGAGAACTAGAGAATTAAGGGACCTTATTAGCACCTTCGAATCACAGTTCTGTTCCTCATCAGACATTAGGCTTGAGGCAGTTCGTCTGAGTTTATCTCATCTGCCGAAAGCCAAAGCTAGTAAGATGCTAAAGTTAATAACCAAACTCAGAGGTAAAGATAACAAAGCCCGTATTTTCCTAAACTACACTGTCAAAGCACAAGGGGTGAGAAATAAACTATTACTTGACTGGTGAGAACCTAGCATCTCTTTAAAAGGCTGTTCTTTTCCTCCTTCACCTGTTTTTCTCTTCCAGTTCTTTATTTGCTTTCCTCTTGAATTTGGGCAGCAGCTGCTGAAGAAGGTCTTTCACTGCATCTCGCTCTTTCACTGCTGTGCTTTCATTGGAAAAATGGAAGTTAGTTGTGTCCCCTGCATGCAGGACCAGCTGAAGTTGAATTTTAGCTTTTCCTTCTGGACTGATTTTCTGGCCTAAAAAGAAGCATGAGGCTAGTTAGATAAGGACACTCACACTGTGGAAAGTCATACAATAAGTTACTTCTCTCAAGACTCAGGCTTCCTTTGGGCTTTAGTTGCCCTATTCCAATCTTGATGCTTCAGCAGAAATGTATAATTCTCAAATAATCCCATATAACCAGAGCATGGTTCAACAAATTCACTGCTAACACCTGGCTTCCTTCTTCAGTATCCTTTTTGTGTGGCACTTCTCACCCACTGCTTCCACCTATGGATACTAAAGGGCTTTGGTTTCCACTCAACTGGGCAGCTTTCTTTAAAGCTTTCTAAACAGCCAACTCAGAGTCCTGAATCCACCCTGAATAGCTGCTTCCAACTGACAATATCATTAATAAAAATGATTTGTCACGATTCAAAAAACTCCAAAACATAGCCCATGGCTTAATTACTAATTGCGAAGGAAAATACGTCATTTTACATTTGAGAGATCAGGTGTCAGCACTTTAACCAAGTGATCAAACTCAGCCTCATTAAACATGGAACAACCTGATACTATGCGCTTTCTGAGGTGATAGAATAGCAACACCACCACTTATGTGTTGTTCTTGCTGAAAATGTCTAACTTGAGTATAATCAAGCCTGTAGACCTTTTAATTTATAAGAAATACAGGTATACAGGAAAAAAATTAAACAAAACCTTGAGGAGACCATCAGACATAATCAGAATGTGTGATATTCTACAAGCCCATACTCTTAAAGAACAGACAAAAGAGACTACGACTACATACATGAACCTAGACTAGGTACTGGTTAAAAAAAATCACAGCTATAAAAAACTTTGGACAACTGGGGAAATGCAACATGGGGAAATGGTCTGGATATTTATTAAAATTTTCTTGGTGCCATAATGTTATAAGCAGTCAAAGTGTACACTCACATAAAAAAGCAAATACGGCAAAATAACTAATACTTAGATGGTATACAATATACACAGGTACATTGTACTATTCTTTAAACTTTTCTGTAACTTTGAAGATTTTCATAATAATTTGGAGCTGGAAATGTCAAAATATACCTACATAATAGAGATCTTGTATTCTTAAAAAGTGGGCCTCATGACTTGTCTTCTTCATAAGGGAAACAGAGATGAAGGGGCTTTGTCTCACTAAATGGGTGACTAATGGTAGTGTGAACACATTACCTAGAGCTCTCTGCCCCAAGCAACCTACGAACACTTAAATAAACAGAAACTTTTTCAATGAATATACTGCTTCCAAACCAACAGTTTAGATGAAATACCTTACTGCCAAAAAGAGCAATATGAAGCAATTTACGTTGTCAGCCAGCCTGCTCCATTATTCCATACCTCCAAAACAAACTATCACTCCTCTCTACTATCTCTTCTCAGTCACTGCTTTATTCTTGCTCTATCTTAGCTCGTGCCTCTGAGAGGCCTACTTTTGAAGTTTTTTAACTATCTAACTGCTAATTTTCACCTTAGTAATGTATTGTTGACAACTTTCAATGGCTTCTTTCAGAAATGAGCATTCTTTCAAATATTCAGCTTAAAATGAAAACTGATCTGGTGCAGATCTAAATTTGGGTATGTGCTCTCCTCCCCGATAGCTGAGAAGAATTGGTGAAATACAGAAGACAGGCATATTCTTTATTGCATGCTGTTAAGTATCATACTGAGTATGTGTTTTGCAAAAGTATAAGGCTAGCTTCCCGTTTAAGAGAAATGCTAATACAGGCAGTTCCTAATTTACGAGTCTATCGTAGAACAAACGTTAGTTTGTAAGACTACTATTAGAAACTTGGTGAGGCATTTCTCCACAGAAACAAAGGTTTGAAAGGAAGCCGTGTTACCAGGAGAGTGGACAAAGACCAGATAGCTCAGGCAGTACTGAATTATGATGAATTTTAAACAGTATTTCCTTTTGAAAATTAAGATTCAGGGCTTCCCTGGTGGCGCAGTGCTTGAGAGTCCGCCTGCCGATGCAGGAGACGCGGG